AAAAATCATTTAATTTTGTTTATTTACACCTGACTATATTTCAATAAATAAAAAATAAAATAACAGATAAAATTAATAAAGTTTACATTAAAATTATAAAGCAAAACTTATTTTGCAACAATTTTTTTTCTCTACAGCAGCATATAAATCGAAACAAAAGAAGTATTTTAGTTGTTGGTATCAATAAGGTATGAAAATTGTTTTCGAATTCTCTTGAATTATCCAAAATAGAAAATTACTAAAATCTATTGATTAGTTTTTTATTTGATACATATATGTAGCATTGTAAAAAAATTAAGTGGATTCTAAATTATTCTCCTGATTAAACAAATTTTTATATATTTTGAATAGTTTTTTAAAATTTTGGGAATATGAATATTGGATAAACTATGATTCAAAATTTTACTATTTTTGCCTCATCTTCTTTGTAAAATAGACATGCATGTTAACACTCTTTGATGTGCAAGTAATAAAAATAGCCGGGCCAAAATTCTGAACATTCAAAACTTATAGACTACAAATTAAAACTAAAAACTATTTCCAAATTCCCCCAAACTTGTCCTTATTTACATCTTTCCCCCTCTTTTGACTTCTCTATCAATACCAAATCAGATTCGATCTACACATCTCCACTGAGAGAAACCGAATCACAAAACCAAAAATGGCCACCACGATCCCACTCTTCGCCTCCTTCAAATACGCCGACAGCCTAACCGTCGTCGGCATCTCCTTCTTCACCGCCTTAGTCTGCGAAGCCATCTCCTGGATCCTAATCTACCGCACCACCTCCTACAAATCCCTAAAATTCTCAATCGACAAAGCCGCCAAGAAGCTCGAGACGATGAAGACCGAGAACCCTTCCTCCAAGCTCACGATCAAGAAATCGAAAACCAAGAAGATCGACCGCGTGGAGTCTTCTTTGAAGGAATCGAGCCGAGATCTGTCGCTGTTCAAGTTCAAATCGGGAGCAGTTGTGGCGCTTGTTTTGTTCGTGGTGTTCGGGTTGTTGAACTCGTTGTTTGAAGGGAAGGTCGTTGCGAAGCTTCCGTTCCATCCGATCGCGATCGTGAGGAAGATGAGTCATAGGGGGTTGAAAGGCGATGACGCGACGGATTGTTCGATGGCGTTTTTGTATTTGTTGTGTTCGATTAGTATTAGGACGAATTTGCAGAAGTTTCTTGGGTTTTCTCCGCCACGTGGCGCTGCTGGTGCTGGTTTGTTCCCTATGCCTGATCCCAAGACTAACTGATATGTTTAGTTATATGATCAGATCAGTGCTCTCTCTATCTTTTTCTACTTTTGTTTTTTTTTATTATAAAGAAACAGTTTCAGTTTTTCTTTTTTCTTTGGAGTCTTATATGGAAGTTAATCAAGAGACTATGTTGTTGTTTTTTTTGTTGAATCTTAATATGATTTATATTGGTTTGTGGATTCTCTGATATAGAATCACTTAGCTTTGTTTTAGCTCTTAGATCTTTGATTCCTTTCATGACTAGCAAAAGAGAGCTTAGTTTAAGAATCATGTAGCTATTAAGGTAGAAGATTGGTGAAATCTGTTGCTTTTTAAGAATAAATGACTATGAAATTGAAATGTATGTAGAGAACATGTGCTAGTTCTAGAGAATCAGAGAGCTGCTGGTTTAAGTTTTGCAACTACTTCTAGCAGAAAACACTTAAATCAGTTACTCAGTTCTACTATTCTACTAAGCATTACATAGTTTAGGAGCTTTTCCAAAGTCAAATCCTCCGACCATTTGATTGAGTTGTTCATGTATACGATCCTTTAGAAGCTGTACATGTGTGTAGTCCTACTCCGACAGCCTCTCTGCTATTCATCGCGCTCTTCATCGTAATGTCGAGATCGCGATGCTCTTCATTATCGCTCTTCATCGTAATGTCGAGATCGCGATGTCGAGATATCCAGACATTTTCAAAGACGGTTTTAAAATACTCTCAAAATCTATTGGTTGGGTTCTTCAGTATCGTTTTTTTTTTTTTCGAATTGAAATGTTAAATTTAAATTAAAAAAAAACAACCTTACATCAATTGTTTCTATAAGCAAAAATTTGTAAAACAATTCAAAGCTTGATCAGCACATAAAACTCCGGTTTAGGGGGACTCCTTGCCAACCTTCTCAAGCATCTTTACAAACCTTCTCAACCTCCAACCCAAACTCAAACCTTATGCCTAGTCCTCACTCCTACTAGGCATCCAGCTCTCACTTCTACTGGCTCTCCACAACCTCCTCAACATCAAACCAAAACTCAACACAATAATGCCTAGCTCTCACTCCTACTAAACATCCAGCTCTCACTCCTATTGGGAAAAACTATCGTGTCGAGAACCAATGTTGCATCCAACAAACCGTCTTAGCATCACCTCTTCTCTGAATTAAAGTAATCTTGTTTCTCATGTTCTTATCAAGCAACTTAGCTATAAGTTCCACCGGCATTGCGACCTCACCATGACGTCTCCTATTCCTTTCTCTCCATATCATATACACTGCTGCTTGAAACATATATTTAAGGAGGAACATCTGCACCTTGTCTCTAGACAAGTCTCTCATTTTTCTCAGTAAACTACTCCAACTCACAGTATACTCATCAAGAAGGACACCCTTCATCATCATTTCCCAAATCTGAGCAGAGAAAGAGCATTTAAAGAACAGATGCTCTAAAGTTTCCAGAGGCTCATTGCACAATACACAAGAAACATTCGCATTCCCTCCCCACTTACTCATTCGATCTCCGGTTGGAAGTCTACCCTTCAAAGCGGTCCACAAAATGAAAGAGTATTTAGGAGTTGCGTTTTTGAACCATACTGCATTGTACCAATGACAGAGTTGATGTTTCTCTCTAATCACCTCCCAAGTTTCCTTTGAAGAAAAGGACTTCTTGTAGTTCCCTTGACAAGTTAACCAAAGAGAGTTGATCTATCGTTTTCGACTTCTTTGTGTTCTTTCGAACGCCGGCTTTAACATTACAAGTGAAAATTTTCTACGGGTTTCTTTTCTCCTTAGCCATCTTTATCTTTCGTTATGTTCTAGTTGTGTTAGCTTCTCAACTTATTGTCGAATGTTTCTCTGGTTGTAATCGACTCAGTCCATTGGACATTTAATTAATATAAGCATTTGTTGTTAAAAAAAAAAGGTAGGGTAGCAATAGATGAAGAAGTACTGGATAAACAATTCGACCACCTCGAGTTCGAAAGATTTCAATTATTAATCAGTACCAAGGGGACTGAGAACATAATCTACAGACACTCGGTCATTACCACGAGGACTGAAGGATCCTGGTTAACTTAAAGAGTCTCTGTATGGTACATGCGAAGCCTGCACATCCGTGAGCTTTGATATCACCTACAACATCACAAAAGTACTATCTGAACTGAGCCACACAACACAAAACACAGCACAATCCTAGTCAGCAGTCCTTAAAGTCAGCAAACTTTTATTTATATATGATCCTTCCTTGCGTCTTAAGCCACTGGTTTCAAACCATTGAATTGTTATGGTCAGTCAACGAGGTTCTGCAGATGTGACAGAAATTATGAGTTGCTAATATCATTTTGAATTTGCTTTAGCGTTGATGAAAGAGATAATCATATAACCACCATACATAGTATCACTGGTTACAAGAGGAGCTCTGCGAGAGGTACAGCTTCGCCTAATTTGCAAACCAACTCAAGTAATTGGAACGGTTTACTCTCTATCATACGGGAACGATACCATCATTGAGTATTTTTCATTGGATCTCGAATCGTTGATTAGAATATATTATATATATATTGCATGGGTATCGCCAAAAAATCTTAAGAGTACATCAAACATAGAATGCATTTTCCAGTGGAGGGATAGTTGTTTAATACAATAAAACAATCATAAATTTTTAAACACATATGATATCAAGATGATGAAATATTTGATTAGTTTTAGTTATTCCAGAGAGATGGGAGCACCAATTTGGCTTCCAACTCTGCGAACACAATCTTTCCATGTATGTTTACTTTTTGGGACAGCATTATACGCACTATCATCACCACCATTGCCGGGTATACCAGACATAAACTTAGCCCCTACTATATGACAATCTCTGCCAATCTTTAAGATTCAGGGACGAATCTTCTTCAACCCGGAGAGAATGATGTAGAGAGAATATTTAGAAAATATTCTTAATATTATTATTTAATTTTATTAATAATAGGATAATTACTTTTATTGTTTTAGGGTTTTTATGATTTTGTTATATATAGCCGTTTAGGCTTAAGAGTTGTATACAGTTTATGATTTGATTAATAAAATTGAGAGTTCTCTCTTTAATTCTTAAATTCGTTGAGATCACCAATAATCCCCATCGTGCGTGTCAAATTCCGTTGTCGGTGAATCGTTAGTCACATCTTTTGGTAGTGGATATCGATCAAATTCTTGGGAAATAATTGTGTGAGACATGAAAAATACTACCGTGAATACAAGCATTAACATGGAAAGAGAGTTTGCCATATTTGCCTTTGGTTTAAGATGTTAGATTGGTGACAATGAACTAGAGAGGTGTTATAGGGCACTGAGTACGTTTTATTGTGAAGAGTAATTAATTGACGTTCATGAGAATTTTTTTTTTTTTTTTTTTTGAAAACTTTTATGTTTAACTCATTATATAACAGTTTTTTTTTGGTAAAATCATAATTTAACAGTTTTGTTTCAAAGTAACGTATACACTAAATTAAGAATATGTTTTATCATCCTTGATGATATGACGTGGGTTTGAATACACTAATTTAACCAGCTGAGACCCTTATGTAAGAATTAATCCTTACATTATTCGTGGGTTCCACTGCCTACGTGGCGATCTATGAGTTGTCAGTTTTTTTTTTTAAAGAAAAAATCTGAAATATCCTTATATAATCCGAAATACCCCTTATTCTTTTTTCCTAAGGATTCCCTCAAGGATCCGCCATTACGGATGCTCTGAGAAAGTCTCACCCTATATCATGCATACCTTTGTGTTATTGGATCTTTTGTTTTTTCTCCCACCTACGTTGATGGTTTTTCATGCGATCCTATTTTTTATATTTTTATTCACTAAAAGAATTAAAAAATATATTCACTAATAGTATTAAATAAATAGCATGAAATTTGATTTATTAGTATTCATGTTGAATATGTAGAGTTGGGTCATGTGTGCCTCGATTTTTATTTTAGATGAATGTATCAAATTATTTTCGAGTGACAATACATTTTATTGACTCATACAGTAACATACTTTTTGAAAATGATTTATTACTCATGAAAATTTAAAATGTGTCAGATATATGTATTTCCTGTATCATTAATATCACACACATTAGAAACAAACACAAAAAAAATGTCTATTCTAGGGTACCATGTTTCTGTTTTCCCATGCATTGGTAACTTTATGCTATAGGCGTTTCATAAAACTCTTGCATGTAACAGTTATGTTTAACAAATAAAGTCTACGTACACTAAATTTAGAAGCCATGGTTTACGTTCGTTTTGGATCGCTCGAGTTCGACCGGTGATTAGAGTAAACTTGAGATAAAACTATTATTACTTTCAAATTATTACAAGTTAAAATCGTATATTAGATTAGCCAACACGATTAGACATAAAAAAACGATCAAAGAAAAGATAATCATATAACCAACCATACATCGTATAGAGTACATCAAACATAGAATGCATTTTCCAGTGAAGTGAGACTTGTTTAATATAATAAAACAATCATGAAATTCAAAAACGCATATAATGTAAAGACAATAGAAATATATTAGTTTCATTCTTCCAAAGAGATCGGAGCATTGATATGGCTCCCAACTCTGCGGACACAATCTTTCCATGTATGTTTGCTTTTTGAGATAGCTTTAGATGCAATATTTATATATTCAGTGTTTGATGACATGATCTGAGCCACTTCTAGATGACAATCTCTGCCAATCTTTAATAGATCATGACAACATTCATTCGTCAACTGCGTGGAATTTTTATCCAGCATGTTCTTGAAAATGTTATCTCCACAATCCGAGTTCATCTTTTGAAGGCATGCCTGAAGAAAATCAAACTGTTTGTCCGTGTAATGACTCCCAAGTTTCATGTTATATACCATTGTCGGTGAATCGGCTTCGGGTGGAGATTCATGATCATGGGGAGTTTCTCTCCTCATGTGGATACCAAAATCTGGCGTGGGAGGTATGTTCGCATCTTTTGGTACTTCTAGTGAATATCGATCAAATTCTTGGGCAAAAGTTGTGTGAGACATGAAAAATACTACATTGAATACAAGCAGTAGCATGGAAAGAGACTTTGCCATATTTGGTTTTAGTTTAGGATGTTAGATTGGTGACGATGAACTAGAGATGTTATAGGGCAGCGAGGACGTTTTATTTGAGGAAAAGTAATTAATTGATGATAAATTTATTCATTACTGCTTTTATATTAACTCATTATTTAACAGTTTTGTTTCAAAATAACGTTTACTCTAAACTTAGAATATGTTTTAGCTTCGATTTGGACCGGTGATGGCGAGGATCTCATGGATATGCGAACCTGGGTTGCCGGATGTCAAGATTTTTATGTAAAGTTAACAGCTGCTAGCTTTTTCTCTAATCGAATATTCCACAATTTCATTCATGTGAACCTAAATTTTCATTTTTTTTATTCACTTAAAATATTAAAAATAAATAGTATGAATTTGTATAATTAGTTTTCATATTGAATACGTAGAGAATTTTTATTTTAGATGAATGTAGCCAATTATTTTTGAATGACAAATATTTATTGACTCATACATTAACGTATTTTTATTTTAAATGATTAAAAATATAAAGATACTAAAAGATATAATAATGAAATTATGTAAAATTTGATATCTTTAGGAATATATCTAATATTTTTAAAAATCATACATGAATCGAAGTTATGACTTATGTTTTAATATATTGTAAACATTGTTTATCATGTGATCATGTGACATGCTACTTTACATAAAACAAAAATTGTAAATTATTAAAAAAATAACACTTTAGTTATCAAAACCCAGCAATAACAAAACAATTTAGCTTCAATATTATTGTATAATAAATCAAGGATGCAAAACAAATACATTATACTCAAGAGTTGCATTTCCAGTCTTAACATCTAATTGAAAAGTCTTTCCCTCAGCATATCCTCTAGCGAATCGAAACACGCCACTGCCTCCAACAATAGGCATCTCCCTAACATTCTCAAATACAAGGTTACGTCCAAGAATGCTAATCGTGCTTCCGTTATATTCTCCTTCCGTAAACACAAAATGGAGAATCATCAACAATCCTAATTCGTATGCGGTCATACCCTGCGCATACCCTATTCTCTTTGAGCTTATATTGGGATGTGTCGTTAGAGGACAATCCATAACGAAAACAGAACCAAAGTATGTCTTAGATATGTTTGTTTGTGCGGCTTCTGCTACTTCCACTGAGGTTGGGTTGCGACCATACATGTCGTGGAAGTAGAAATGAAGATGGGTTAGGTTCTCTTGGTTTAGACCTAAAGAAGATGGAGATGAAACTTTTGAAAAGGCTTGTTTCTTCACGAAGTATAACGATAAGAAGCAAAATGTAGCAAGTGATAAGATTGAAACTGGTTTTTGTTTAGTGTTGGCCATTGAGAGATGAAACATAATATAGCACAAAGTTTTGGAGAATGGATTTGTAAATGTGAGCGTAACTACATATTATTATATATACTCATAGTATTTATTTGTAAGTTGTTATATTTTTTATGCAAAAGTATTTTAGGTTAATATATATATATGTGATCTATATATGAAACGTGGTCATTGTAAATATCAATATTCAATGAACCACATATTTTGAATAAATTTTTTTATTATATACTTGATGGAAAACAATCTAAATAACGTAAGTATAAATTGGTGAAATTAGTCGTTTGTAGGAAAAAAATCCTGCATATCTGATTTGTTTCGTCATAAACAGCCACCTATCAAATAAAATGATTATATTAACTTATTGGAGTTTTTCACAAAATTCAAAGTTTCACAGTACGAGTTTTTTTTTTTAACCACAAACGAGTTATATGGGTCATATATACAACTTAAGATCTACAATGTTAAATATGTATTAAGAGTTTTATTATTTTAAAATCCAAACAAATAACGTCTACACTAAATTTAGAAGCCATGGTTTACGTTTGTTTTGGATCGCTCGAGTTCGACCGGTGATTAGACTTTGGTAAACTTGAAATAAAACTATTATTACTTTCAAATTATTACAAGTTAAAATCGTATATTAGATAAGCCAACACGATTAGACACATAGAAAAACGTTCAAAGAAAAGGTTTGATTATGTTTGGTCTGGTTTCGGAGAGATTTGACCTAAGCCCTTCCTTTCAACACATGTCTTCTTAAACCGGGAATGTGAACATTTGTAATGTAGTCATTCCAGTTAATGCTTCCAACATCAAACCCAAACTCAATCTTCTCTTCTTCAGACATATTCTCCATTAATCTATGTGTATTGCTGTTATCAAATCTGCAGCAAAAACAAACAAAAAGATTCAAAAAAAAATTTGGTTCTGTCTTAGAATTAAAATTGCTTTGTTCTTACCTTCCACTATAGAAAGTATATGGCTCATAAATAGTGGCAAGGTGTTTGGCTTGTTCAACAGATTTTTTGCATATGAATTTAAGCTTTTGCAACATCTTACTATCCGCTGAGCTCATACCATTCATTATTAGTCCACTCCGTTCTTGAGCATCTCTCCACAAATGATCCGAAAAATCATCAACAGAGTCGAAAAGTTTCATCAAAGGCACCTTAATAGGAACACCTTTGGAGTCCATGCATGGGGTAGATTTGTAATGATTATAAAGAAGCTCAGCTAAGTCCTCAAAAACAAGAGGATTTATCGCTGAAGAAGCAATTTGATACACGTTAATCTCAGGCTCTGGATCTGCCTTAGCCATTCCATGCTTTGCTATAGCAGCTAATGTTGCATTAACAACCATATCAGCTGGAACAACATCAAGAACTCCTTTCGGGTCCACCAAGAAACCTGTGAGCTGTCCCTTTCCATAACATAGAACTATAGGATCCATCATCCTGGTTTTCACATTAAGAGCATGTCCATCAGTGAATCGATAGGGCTCGATTCCTCAAATGACTTTTTTCTCGTTTGACATTTTTTTTTCAAAAAGAAAAAAAAATTAATAAACCAACTAATCGTGGGCTGTCACGTGTCGTGGGGCCCACGACACAGTGTTGAACCCGTTTCACTGGGGAGCACTCGCACGGCCCGGGTTCACTTCTCACAGATTTTAATTAAAAAAAAAAAAATTGGGATTTGTGTGAACCCCATCAATAAACCTTTGATGGGGGTGGTCTAAGTAACATTCAGTTTTTCTTTAATGTATTCATTCACATCTATGCACCATGTGACATATAATACAAGTTACCTGTTTCCTTCCATCCATCCAGGGAAGGGATCTTTGTAAGTGCTTTCGATGACACTAGGTCTTATGATAACCACAGGTACGTCCCCTCTTGTGCTATTGATCATCATCTCTCCCATTGCTTTTGTGAAAACATAAGTGTCTTGCCATCCATATGATCTTGCCCTGTTACAATATTTTGGTGTGTTTAAGATTGTAGCAATAGTCAAAGTGAATATTTATATTATGACTACCTCTCTAGACCAAGATCCTTCATCTTCTGCCCCTCTTCTTGATCTTTAGCTCCTTTTCTTGATGCATCAAGAGCTAGCTTCATCTCTTTTTCGATATCTAATGCTTTCCTGTTCCCTTCCACGAAGTTTTCTGTTGCTATACAATCTCCCATGGAGAATGGCTTCTCCATGATCCTTCCTTGTCTTTGTCCATTCACATAAGCTGCACAATGATTTTTTTTTTTTTTCAAATGAAGAAGCCAAAACACTTTAGCTCTCTGTGTTTAGGATTCACATACCTGTGGATACTTGCAAGAAAAGCTTGAGGTTCTTGCACTTCTTGGCGAATCCCATGAGATTACCAGGCCCTCTTGTGTTTATATCCAAAGCAACATCATATCTGGAATCTCCTCCAAGATTAGTAAGACACATACATTGATGTTATCTAGATAACAAAGCAAGAGAACTAAATACATAGTCTAATAACCTTTCATTGAAGGTTGTATTGGCAGCAGAGTTGATAATCACATCAACTTCATTTGCAATCTCCTCAGCTGATTCTGCTTGCAACCCAATGTTTGAATCACAAATGTTTCCTGTCACAGGGACGAGTTTGTCTAACATGAAAGACTGGTAAGATGCTCCATGAGTCTCTTTTAGAGTATTAAAAAGCTCTGCATCTAACACCTGAAAAACAGCAACCCCATGGGATATGGTTATGTACATAACATGACTAAGCAAGAACAAAAAAGAAGATGAACTTACCTCGTTCTTTAACCTCTGAATCGCAGCTTCTTTGCTTTTAGCTTTAATCAGTAGATATATCTTACCAACATCAGGAGCCATTCTCAAGACCTTCTCAATCAGTACTGGAGATATCACAAGGGAAGTGATGTAAAGACAGTTTTGGAATAAAAATAATGTAAAACTAAATATATAAATAATTTTCCGGTTTATCCGAACCGATCCGGATCCGAACAAAAACACTGCCTGGTCGTCTATGAATATATTTTCTTTCAACCCAATTTACTCGGAACCGAATGGATCCTACCCGAAACCGACCCAGACATTCGAAAGCCGGCCCTATAAATTGATAAGTACCTTTAGCTAAGAAACCAGTGGAGCCAGTGATTAGAAACGTCTTCCCTTGGAGATAACTGACAATGCCTAGACCCTCTTTAATCCCCACCATAGCAGCACCATTAAAAGGCATCAAAGTTTTTACTCCATTCGGAGACAGAACCAATGTCTCAGCCTCCATAGCCGGGGAACTCTGTTCCCTAATCAAGACTTGACCTCTGTCTTTCAAAAGAGAAGAGACCCTAATAGGCCTCTCTGGTTTGATGTTTCTCCCATCACCACCACCACCACCACCTACACGGCACCAGGTGGGGCTTACCCTTTTCTTGTCCTTAACCAATGTACACCAGTCACGACGGTCGTGTAATCTTGAAAGCTTGATTGATGCAGCAATGGAGGAAGAAAAAGAACTCAAGAAGAGAGCTTCCATCACAAACTAAGAAATAAGAAATAGAGAAAGGTTCATTTTTAGACTAAGAAAGTAAACTGTCCATTCCATTACTATGTTCTTTGAGAAAACAGAAGCTTGTTGGTTAAGAAACTGGTGACTTGTAATGTACTTAACCTAGAAACACATACCTTTTGTAATGATCAACAAGAATATACTTAAATAGAAAGAGAGTGAGTAAACCAAGAAAGTTTTTATATATGTTCGTATTGTTTATCGTTAGGAGACAAGTGTGTGAGTTTTGTTTTTATAAGAGGAATGAAAAGATTGGTTAGTTTTGAAGGACAAAAGATGATGAAAAACTTCTTCTGTTTTGTAGGTAAATATATAATTAAAAAACTTAGTAAAACAAAAGATTGCCCTCGAATCTTTCTCTCCAACATTTGATCACTTTCGTACATACGATCTAGATTTCAAAATATAGAAATGAAATAAATAAAAGAATGCATTAGTTCTTTTTTTTGGGACAAAAGAATGCATTAGTTCCTAATACATCTTTGCAAGCTCAAATCAAAACAACACATAGGGGATGTATTCAATCTAAAATTTGAGGTGATTTGATTTTTAATAAGGTTTTAGATGATTTTAATAAGTTGGAGAGATTTAAGTGATTTTTGTTAAACTACTCTAGAATATCACCTAAAACCATGAAATTTAGATTTTAATTTTGTTAACTAAGAAACTCCACCCAAACACTCTAAAATTACTCGAAAACTCCACAACTTGAAATATTTTCAGTACCAGTGCATTTCAGAATACTTTATAAAATGTCAAATTAAATAACATTGGATTTTAAATGATTTTTTAAAAATATTCATGTTTGAATAACAATGGATTTGTCATTTTAAAATAAATCACCTAAAACTCTCAATTGAATACATCCCTCATACTCCTTTATTGATTTTAAAATTTTATATATGATCTGCAAATCTTTATAAATTTTAATGATCTTTAAATTCAAATATGTGTACTTTTATATTTTTGTACAAATTCTCCCAATTCTTATGTTATTTTTTTGAATGTTTTACCTCATATTTGTCTTTTGTATTTTTATCTAATGAGATTATTCAAAATCCAATTAAATCATACTCACAAATAATTCTGCTAAAAGAGTTCTGAATATTGTTAAATATTTTAAAATTCAACAACACATGAATTTGTTTGGATTTCTGAATTCATTACAATAACTAATATCCTCCACTAAATCCCTGATTCAACTCCAATAAAACTTTTCTTCTGAAATATAAGAGTATGATTAAGCCGGGATTTTTAAGGTGGGGTTCTTAGAGAAAGTTCAAAAACTGTTTCTTAAGTTTTAACTTAAAACGTTAAGAATTGATTTTTAAATAATGACTTTAAAGTTTGATTCTTAGCGTTTTTAGTTAAAAGTAAAGAAACAGTTTCTTAAATTCCGATAAGAACTCCATCTTAAGAATCCCGGGTTAATGATGGTCTAACTCTCTTGACAAAAAGAAACGTAAATATATTCTAAAATGGGCCTTTCATTCATTTTATCTAAAACAAGGCCCATACAGGCCGACATTTTTTTATCCCAATTTTTTTTTTTAATTAAAAACTTCAGACACGGCGGTACTCGGAAAAACCCTAAAAACTTCTTCTTCTCAATTCAACACTAAACCCTCACAGCTAAAAACTTCCCCTCCGCCATTACAGTTATGGCGCCTCCGTCGAGAAAACTCCCAAACGGAAAACGCAACGATTCCACAAAATCATTCAAACCATCTAAGAAACCGTTTAAGAAAACTAAAGACGACGACCTCGCTGCAAGGTCTGAAGCCATGGCTCTCCAGCTCGAAGACGTTCCTGACTTCCCTCGAGGTTTTGTTTGTTTATTTCTTCCCTCTCAGATATAATTGAATCTCTCTTCCATTTATTTCTCATGAATCATAATTTTTTTATTTTTGTTGAATTGATTGGTTTAGGTGGAGGTACTTCTCTGAGCAAGAAAGAGCGTGAGAAGATTCATGAGGAAGTGGACGCTGAGTTCGAAGCTGGTGATGAGCGTGTTACTAAGAGGAGTAAAGGAGGGAAAATTAAGAAGAGAGTCCCTAGAGATGTGGATGAATTGGGATCTCTTTTTGACGGTGGATTAACTGGGAAACGGCCTAGATATGCTAATAAGATTACTACTAAGGTATTGAACTATGATATGTTAAGCTCTATTTAGTCAGAATTGGTTAAGAGAAGCTACTCTTGGAACATTTACATTTCTCCATTGTTTACTTTAATTGTTGAGTCATTTGTTCTCTTTGTCATGGAATTTCATAGAACAGATTGTTTGTGTGCATTTTACTAAACGTCAGAGTTTAATCAAGATGTTTCATCAGATTACAGTGACTAGTTTATGAGTCAATGTTCTCTGACGTTGTAGCTAGGTAGATAATTCTTGATAGGTTGTGATTGGTTGTTTTTTTTTATACCAATGGCGTTTTTGTTTTCCGTTGACATTCATCTTTCCTCATAAGCATGGTTGCATTATTGTACTGTCCAAGAAGATTTTACATCTTTACGTTTCTGTTCTGACGGTTGATGGGATTATATGTTCAGAATATTTCTGCTGGGATGAAGCTTTTGGGAGTTGTAACTGAAGTCAACCAGAAAGATATTGTAATTAGTCTTCCAGGGGGGTTACGTGGATTGGTTCGTGCTAGCGAGGCATTGGATTTTACAGATTTCGGAAATGAGGTAGCTGCTTTGGTTGTCTATATACCCTTTCCTTTGGTCATTTTAACCTTTCTGCAATCTGAATTGAATTTGTACTCCATTTTGTCAACCAGGACGATGAAAATGAACTCCTTCGAGACATCTTTTCTGTGGGTCAGCTTGTTCCCTGCATTGTATTGCAGTTAGATGATGATAAGAAGGAGGCGGGCAAAAGGAAAATATGGCTTTCATTGCGACTTTCTTTATTGCACAAGGGATTCAGTTTGGATTCCTTTCAACCAGGGATGGTATGTCAATACTTGGTTTATTTTCCTTTTTTTCGTAATATTTATTCCTTGGGAGCTCTGCTTTTCCGTTAGACTTCAAATGTAGTTGTTGATACTGGCATTCAAGTATGTTTGTCGTAGAGTCCAAAACAAGCTTAGAGGTTATTTATATCGCGGCAGAGGCCATCTTTTTCAGACAAAAAATAAGCTATATTGATACTGTTCTTCTGCTATTTTCTGAATGGGATCGTACTTTTACCAACTCAGTTTTTATTGCTGTTGAAAAATAATCATCTTTTATTTTCTTTTCCATAATGCTTTTCCAGGTTGTCTCTGCAAATGTGAAAAGTGTCGAAGATCATGGATATATCCTTCACTTTGGAATGCCTTCTATCACAGGATTTATCAAAAAAAACAACGATGGTACTAAATCTCATTAACCTACTGGTCTCTTTGCTCTCTTGACCCTTATTCACATTGGCCTTTTTCTTTTGATTTCTTGTGGCTAATGATATTCAATGTGCCTTCTAACGTACATCATGAATTGTCGATGACCAATTAAAATACTTCATTTCTGAAAACCTTTGTGGACGCTTTTGATCTTTCTTTGGAATTTCCTGGTTCTCTGGTTATTCCGATTCCGATCATCTTAAAAATCTTTCTTTACCATTTTCTGAATTTCCAGGAACTCAGGAGCTAAAGACAGGGCAGCTTATTCAGGGCGTGGTTACAAATATTGATAAAGAACGTAAAATTGTTCGTCTTAGTTCTGACCCAGATTCAGTGGCAAAGTGTGTGGTATGCCTCGTACTTCCAAAATTGCAGAGTATAATTTCCTTGGTACAAAACAAACATAACCTCGTGATTACCATTTTGCAGACCAAGGATCTTAGTGGGATGTCGTTCGATCTCCTCATCCCAGGCATGATGGTTAATTCGCGTGTGCAGTCTGTCCTTGAGAATGGAATACTATTAGGATTTCTTATGTACTTTACTGGAACGGTGAGTTACCGATGATTTTGGTAGTTTGCATTATTAATTAAGCTGGAACTATATTTGTCATAGTTAACATAAAATATTAGTGAGGATTCTGAGGAACATTTCTCATTGATGTGCAGGTTGATCTATTCCATCTACAAAATCCATTGTCTAACAAGAGCTGGAAGGATGAGTATAATCAGACTAAGATGGTATTCGTTTTGCGTTTACTCTGTTCTGATTCTTCTGTTTGTTGTGTTTCTATTATGAATCTCAATGTAGTTTACTGATCTTGTAGTCCCACTGTCGTGTTTCTATTTGTCTTAGTGTTAGTTTTGGCCAACCCTAAGCTCAACTGTGTCTGAATTTTTAAGTTAGAAACTCCCTTTCAATCTTTAAAGTTGTGGGTACAAAGTTACTTCAAAATGATATATCATTGCCCAGAATCTAGGTATTTGTATCTATTAGTTACGTTTCTTCTATCCAATGTTTAAGTCAACTTAAACTTTGATTACCATAGTTTTGAAAGTATTTAATTTGTACGTAGTTTTAGTTATTTATTTGTTTCGATTGTTTTGAATTTCTGGTCAGTTGTCTTTGGGGAAAGATAGTTTTTTCTCCTTTTGGTCTAACTTAAACACAATGCTCCTACTGTTTTTCAGGTTAATGCTAGAATATTGTTTATCGATCCATCAACCAGAGCTGTTGGTTTGACGTTAAACCCACATCTTGTTGGCAACAAAGCTCCTCCTTTGGTAAGCGACTGATATGTCCATTCGCTTCCACTAAAATATAATGGTGACATGATAGTAACAGACCTTGATATACACTTCTTTCTGCATACTTAAGCTTGACTCGATTGCTCATCCACTTGCTCACACTTTTTTGGTTCTTCACTTTGATCCCTTAACCCAGCATTGTTCCCTGTGTGTGGTCTTCGCGGACCTACCTGTATTTGCTTATCTTTGTTCTTTTGTAAATTATTTGTAAGACTTGTGTATGGTTCCTTACAGCATGTTTCCAGCGGAGACATATTCGACGAAGCAAAAGTTG